AAGCGGCCTGGGGAGGAACCTAGGAAAGGAGGGCCATGCGGGGCGGGCCTGAGGGGTTGGGGCCTGGGCTGGGGGCGTAGCCCGAGGTGGGAGGCGGGCCCGCCTACGGGATCAGGGGCCCAGGCCGGTCCAATCCGGGACGTGTGGGGAGAGCTAAGAGAGCAGGAGGATGGGCCCGGTGGCCTCGGGTCGACCGCCAGCGCCTGGAGCTAGGGCCCGGTTTCCCGCACGCGGCCTGCAGACACTGACGCGAGGTCTTTGCACCTGCGGCGCCCTGGCGCGTGCCTGCGCAGATGGATATCTCCCACGCAGCACCAGGATCCTGTCTGTGGCTTTCGGTTGCGTAGGGTGACGCAGCTAGCGCAGCCCGGGGCCCCCAGGGCGGGATCGGGGATCCAGGCCCTGCCATCGGGGCTCAGTCTGGTGTCCACTGTGGAGGAGAAGGGTGATGGAGATGGCCTTGGGCTGGGAGGGCTTTGGGGTCTTCCAACAAATGGTCCCTGCCCCGAGCACTCCAGGCGCCGGCCCCTGTCCTCACCACAGTCGGAGACTGAGGCTCCCGGCCAGCTATGGCCAGGGACTGCAGCTGCAGCCGGCCCTGACTTGCTGCCTCGCCTGATTGCAGGTGGCCTTACAGGAGCCCCTCCCGTCAGCTCTCCCGTGGGAAGAGCGAGGGGCCGGCATCCTCGCTTCCTGGCCCTGGCCTCGCGTTCCTGCCTGGGCTGGTCTCGGACCCTCCCGATATTAAATCCCATGGCTCTCCCAGGACAGCAGTGTATCCCATTCCCCAGCCCTGCCGGCCAGGCTGCTCCAGCAGGCACAGCTTTGTCTTATCCAGGCCGCGCTGGGGACATGTGCGTGTGCGTCACCCTGCCCCATCTCCTGCCAGCATTCCAAGGCCCCTGCTCCTGGGAGCTTGACAGTGGACTGCAGTGCACATGACTGAGCCGGGCGTCGTGGGCCAACAATCTTGCTAGGGACCCGCCTGGTGCCTGCTGTGTAGTTGTGGGTTGCCCTGCAGCCAGGTCCCTACCCTGGCCGGGCGAGTAGAGGCTGCAGGGCCTCTGAGGAGCTGGCTCCCAGGGGTGCCTGGAAGGGCGGGATCCCAGGCTCCCAGAGGAGGGGCAGGGTATGCAGCCATGACCATAATGTCCAGGACGAGAGTCACAAATGCTATGGAGGAAATGCTTGGAAGACACAGCCTTTTGCACAGAGGGGGATTCCAGGAGCGAACTCTGGAGGGAGGGAGGGGGTGCCAAGGACCACGTCTGAATATGGAGAGGAGCAGGCCCCAGAAGGTGGGTGGAGACTCTGCCCCAACCCCAGGAGGGCGCCTCACTTGTCTAGAATCTTCACTGAGCGTCCACTGCACACCTGGAGCTGTTTGGGGCAGACAGATGACAGATGAAAAGTAAACAAGCCCAGAGATGCCACCTAGTGTCATGAGCAGCGTGGGGGGAGGGAGCCAGGGCTGAGTGTGTGTGTGTGTGGGAGCGGGGAATGGTGGAGCTGATCAAGGCAAGGAAAGGCCCCCTTCCCCTGGGACTCCTCTCCAGGCAGAGGGGTCAGTGTGCTAAAGCTGTGAGTCTCTGGTCCCCAGGACTCAGCTCACTGACGGCCTCTTCCCCCTACCCAACCTCAAGCCCAGCGGCTGGGAGCTCCTGGGCCACGTCTCCTTGGCACCTGCCCTCAGCCAGGTCGTGTTGCTTGGTGAGGGCCAGGCCCCACCTGCCGCTGGCTCCAGAATGTTATGACCCCCTCTGTGGTGCGGTGAGCAGAGGTTTGTGCGGACTGCAAAGTGCAGCTGACTCCTAAAGACAGACGATTAAGGACAGACCTTTGTCCGTCTGCAAGAAAGTGGAATGCAGGGAATCCCACTCTGCAGGATTCTAACTGTACTTCCTGACCCCGCATGTTAACTACAACGGCAGACAGTACTTCCAGCGGACCCTCCGCGAGCTTCTTAGAATGACTTCAGAAGCCGCAGCTTGTGGTCGAAGCTTACAGTGCGGTCTCCGCCTGCACACAGCCTGCTGGGGCCGTCTGCTCCAGCCCGCGGCTCCGCGGACAGCGCCCTCGCGCTGGCCACTTCACGCGCCAGCCATGCCGGTCTCTCCGCCGTCCTCCGCTTTCTCTCCTCTCACTGTCCCGGGCACCTCGGCTCAGGCCGCCAACACAAAACACCACAGACTGGGGCTTAAAAAACGGACGTTCAGCTCTCCCAGCCCGCCGGCTGCACCTGCGAGGCGGGAGCCAGGAGCCAGCGAGGCCTCTTCCTGCTGTGCCCACGTCCGCCTCCTCGCGGTGCCCTCACCTGGCGGGAGGGAGAGCTCTCTGCGGTCACTTCCCTAAGGACGCGAATCCCGTCCAACTCTAAGGGCCGGAAGGCTGGACCTCCAGATGCCAGCACGTGGGGTTAGAGTTCCAACCTAGGCATCAGTGATTGAGCAGCTGCGCTGCTGAGGCGTGGGAGCGGCGTGGTCCCCTGCAGGACCCCCGTGCACTGATGCGCATGCGGACTGCGCTCCCTGCGCGCAAGGCGCAGAAACGCACCAGCTGTGGTCGCGGACGCTTCTCTCCCGCAGCGTTTGGGTTTGAGCGCCAGGGAGCGTCCTCTGACAGCTTGCTGCGCAGCGGCCGGCACACTGCGCGGTCCTGCTGCAGGTGTGTCTGCATCTCGTTCCTCCCACTGCCCATGGGCCTGCCTGGTGACCCGGCCTTGGCTGTTAGGGAACATGCTTCTGGAACACTCTCACCCAAGTGTTTGGACACGAGCTCACATGCGCACTGAAGAAGCCGCCGGGCCATAGGACGTGCTGTGTCCACCTCTAGATCATCCTACAGAAATGAAATTTATGTGCCACCGAATGTGGATGCTTCCCTGTGCTGCACACCTTTGCCAGCCCCAGACACTCACAGCGGCACAGGGCGGCCGGTCTGGCTGGGGCGCACCGGCGTCTGTGTGCTGGGACGCCTGAGCCTGGTCTCAGCCTCTCCGCGGTCTGCATCTTGTGAGGCCCCATTAAATGTCTTTGATCATTTTTCTATTGAGTGTCTTTTTCTTACTGATTTGCAGGAGTTCTCTGACTGTACTGGAGGTGATTCTTGTCAGTTACAGTCAAATCTCATTATTCCCAAGATTTGTCTCTGTGAAGTCAGAGCACAGAGTCAGCAGACGCTGGCCCCTGCTCCTGGGGGAGCGCAGGGCCGGGTCCCTGAGCCCCTGGCCACCGCCTGCCGGGCAGTGGCCGCGCACAGCCTGTTGAATGAGCGCTTCTGTTTACAGACGCTTCAACGCGCGCTGCTGGTTCGTGAACACCAGGCTCAGCCGGCAGTGCTGTCACTCGGCCTGAGGACGCTCGGCCGACACACGCATTTCTCCCAACGGCACGTCCCAGCCTCCCGCACGTGGGAACACCAGGCAAACTTTGGGACCAGGCTCCGGGGCTGTAAGCCGCGAAATCACCAAGAAAAAGCACAGAAATGCAGGAAACGTGGCACTAAGTAGACGGCTAACAGGACAGGTGTTTACGGTCGGAGCTGAAACAGGGCCGGGCGCTACGGCCCAACCGAGGGGACACGTGCGATTTTCACCACGCTGCACACGTCCCAGTGGCCTCGGAAGTGCCCTGAGCAGCCACCGTGGGGTACAGATAAGCTGAACGAGTAGGGGAACTCGCAGACACAGGATCTGGGCTGCCACTGAGGCACACGCCCTCCTCACACCAGGGGGCCTGTCACCTTGCCAGTGGCCTTTGGTGATCAGGCCTTCTTACTGTTCACCTCGTCTAATCAAACAGCCTTCTTCCTGGTGGGACCTTTGTGTCCTTAGGCCACAGAGAAGCTTGAGGAACAGCTGTTTACCCTTCGCAGTGATGCCTGGTGCCCTCGAGGCCGCCAGGCCCGTGTTGGCGAGTGGGGTGACCAGGGGAAGCCGTGAACGTGGTGCTGGTTTGCGCAGCTCGAAGTTGATGGGATGCTCTGTAACAAAAAAAAGCAAGATGATGATGATAAAATTAGATACATATTTACTCAAAATCAGAGAAGAAATCACAACAAATTGAAAATTCTAATAGCATAAACATCACAAAATCCAGAAATGCCACAATTTTTATTCATAACTGCCTACTACTCCACTGATACTCTGTAAATCTCCATTTTCTATTGTCTCTTATAACAGTTTTGCGATGTCATTTCCCAGGGGGGAAATAGAGAGGTAACTTCGTCCCTCAACGTAGCTGCGTGGGATCAACCCAGGACTGCTGTTTTATAAGCATCGACACTTGACAGCCCATCCCTGCCCGAATCAGACCCAGTGTGGAGACAGCCGTCAGATCTAGAGAAGACACGTCGGGGAAGCTCTGGGTGCACGTTCCCATGCCATGACCCACTGAAGACGCCGCTGCTAATCCGACGAAACCCCTCAGGTCACGTCCTGTCACATTGCCGTGGAGTTCTAGGTTATCGTGCCCATGTCAGCATTTCCTGTCAGATCAGCAGGATGTTTAATCTCTTTCCAAAAGTCCACATAATCCACTCCTCTTGGTGGCCGGCCGTGGGCGTCCGGAAATGGTTTTCTGCACCAGGATGTCTGGCACCGACCTTGATAAGCAAGGAAGTGAGTAGGACTGACACAAACACGCTCCGCGAAACCCCAGCGGAGGCTTCCGCAGCTCCGACTTCCGCTTGGCCAGATCCCAAAAGGGTCCCCCCCTCTCTAGGGCCACCCCGGCAAGAGGGGAGGTGTGACAGAGGGACTCCGAGACAGTGCCAGAACCGCTGTGGTCACAGTATCTTAGTTCAGCCAGTTTTACAAAATCATGTGACCGTACGAACTGCGCCACTGTGGACCGGCTGTGTCCCGGGGTGCCCAGCACCACGCTGTCTCCGCTGCTCCGGCTTCGCAGGCCTGATCTGGAACAGCACACGCCCTCCGCGAAGGTGTGGACAGGACCATGTCCCCCCACCCCAGGCCTACAGCTGGCCTTGTCCCATGGAGCCGTGGTCCTTGCATTCCTTCACGTGTGGCCCCTTCCTGCATTCCATCAGCAGAGTGGCCGCGGAGCATCTTTGCTGTAAAATTCGTGCCCAGGATTTGTTTCAATCAGGTATGGTGAGGTGCTGCCTTTGAAGGGAGAATTTATTACTCGCCTTTCCCAGCGCCACGCAGGCCACATGGGGAAGCTCTGGTTTGGGCCAGGAGCAGAAGCAGGAGCAAGGAGGATGTGGCCCACAGCCTTTGTTAGGGTCTTTGCAGGAAGGAGTGGGCGAGGCAGCACAATGCATGGACTAAGGTTAGAATCAAATATAAATAATTGCAGCAGCCTGAGCTACAGGAAGGTCCCTAGTTGTCCACTTCCTGGCCCTGGGTGATTTGGGGCAGGAGGAACACGGCTTGGTGTCTGAGGGTGAGGTGAGGAGCTGGTGCGGGCTGGCTCTTGGATGGGTCACTTTGTGATCAGAGGCGTTCGCAGGCGAGTCCTAGCCGTCTCTCCAGGAACAAGGCCCAAGGCCCAAGGAATTAAGGATACATAAAATAACCTGCCTCCTGCCTCTCCGAGTGGCCTTGCCTCCTGCTCGCAGGGACCTGTGAGCACCGAGTCCCCCCCGTGACAATCGTTTCTGCATCTGCCATCTCAGCATTCTGATGAAGACAAAACCCACGTGGATTCCACAGTGATCTTCGAATCTCTCTTCCAAGGTCATCCCGTGGCCTCTTCTGCGTCCAGTCCCCGGGATGGCATTCAGGGCTACTCAGATGATCCAGGATAATCTCCCATCGCAAGATGCTTAACTTAATCACACCTGCAAAGCCTTGTCACGGAGCAGGCTCATATTCACAGGCCCAGGGGATTAGGACACAGCTGGGGCCTGCCGATCCCCTCCGTTTACCCACTTCGCTTCTACGCTACTGTCCCATGTTTTAATTCTCCGGATACGTTTTAAGCCTCACAAGACATCACTGTCATTGTTTTACAAGTCGCTCTTCACTGGACTTTTCGTAACACAGCCTTCTCTTGTGTGCCCTTGCTCCCGTCCTCGGGCTTTGTGGACCAGTCTCCTTAATAACGAATGCTTTCAGGCTTTGTCTCCGAAATGTCTGTGGCCTTCATCTCTGAAGCGTGCCGCTGGCTGGATCTAGACGTTTAGGTTTGCAGGCATTATTTTCAGGACATGGAGGTTTTCCTTTCATTGCCTGTGGTCTCAGCTGTGGCTGCTCTGCAGCGAGGTAGCAGGTCCGTGGGCCAGCAGCGGCCGTGGCCCCGGCGGCCGGCGGCGTTCCCGGTGCTCTCCTCCACCGCAGCACATCTTCATTCTGTGGATCACGTCTTCCATCACTTTGGGAAAATTATCAGCTCCTATCTCTTCAAATACTGTTCTGTCACCAGCCTAAGGGACCGGGACACTGGCTCACTCCTGGTTGGGGCGCAGCTGTCTGAGGAGGACAGTGCAGGGACAGATGTGCAGCTCTGTGACCTGCTGGGTGGACAGTTTAAAATGTAAACACTTGCATCGCAATGCCTCACTCACACCCGGGCCCGGCACCCCCCGCTTCCCGCCCCCCCACCCTGCTGTCTACTAGAAATGTCCACGTGGCTTCCCCAGCCTGTCCG